GTTTGAAATATTATAAATATATTTATATAATATTATAAATATATATATATATATCGTTTTTAATGGACACAGTAATCGACACGCTTGGTCAATCACTATGCGAAATAGTCGCGCGAATGTCGACGTAACGAAGTGCCGTGAAGTCGTGTCCGACGAAAACTATTCTTCCGGCCACTCGAGCTGCTCGTCCATTTGCTCGCGAAACACGCTGTATGAATAATAAAACGGACTTCGAGTAGGATCGATAATCGCCGCGGCTTATCATGAAAATGAATTGAACCATGGATTTAAATAATTTCTCTTACGGATTGCAATCTGCCCTTGTTTCCATTCCTCTTCCAGCGTCCGCGTTCCTGTTCCCGTTCCCCGCGGCCGATCGTTATCCGCGCCGCCGATTCTCGCGCCTATCTGTCGTGCTTCGGCCGACCGATTGAAACCTGTAACGAATTCGCAAGACGCGCAAGGATACGCATAAAAGTACCTTCGTACCGGAGAGTATCTGCCGGAAACGTCTATCGTTCGACGAATCCAATTAATCACATAGAAACACGCGTATGTTTGAATTATGAAACGCGCTTGGAAAAATGATTGATCGGACTGCAACGAAAAAATATAGACGTTGATTTAATCCACTTGCAGTTAGCTTTATGAATAATTTATGCATTTAGAGTGCGTAAAAGTCATCAGAAGGATATTTAAACTCAATTTCTGCTTCTTTATGCTGTTGTAGTAAAGTGTGCATAATTTGCATACACTTTTATGTTACGATTGCGAGATACCGTTTACGTAATGCACGATGGTTATGCCAATTTTGGTAAGCCTCGAGCAATCGATTAAACAGATTCGTCGCGTAAGAATTTGAAAACGTCGTCATTTATAATCAAGAATTTCGTTCTGCATACAAATACTTTTATAACCAGACTGCGGATGTTTATGCGCGATAAGTATGCATAACGCGTATGACATTTATGCGCGAAATATATGCAAAATGCGCACGAAAATATGCAGTATATGCAGGAAAATATGTAAATACACACGATATCAAGTGTACACCATATTAAGTGTTAAGTCCAATATTAAGTATCAAGAAACGTTTTACAATTATTCTGACGAATTACAGTGTGTTACAAGCATTTCTCCTATATTTCATGGCGTTTGTTGAAGGTGTTTGTCGACAAAAATTAATTTGTATTCCGAAAATGACCGTTCCACAGTATTGTGGCACATGCATCGGACTAATTGTGATTTCCGTTTGCTCTTCACATTTTCGTACATGTTTGAAGATAAAATACATTATTTTCACACTATTTTATAAATATATGATTTGTTCTGTTATTGTAAAAATGGGTGCTCACTCGTACATATTAATGAATTAAATTAAATTAAAATAAATTAAATTAGACTGAACTGAATTGAATTGAATTGAATTGAATTTTCATCAACGATGAAATTGGAATCGTATTTGATTCAGTTTTTCATTAACGAAATTCGACATTTCAGAAATATTGAAAGACACTCGTATAAAATTCACTTCGTCGCCTCAATAATAAAACCAAACTGTTCCAATTCGAAGTACGTACTAATAGCTGCAGCTAATGTTCAATTACCAACTCAATGTTTTGAAATCGTGGCGTTTTGTCGCGGTGGTTATATTCAGCATTATATTGAAATGTAGCCGCCACCAATATAATCCGGTTACGATATATGTGCTGACTAATCATTTAAATGAGCATGATATATGCATATGCACGGCAAATAACATATGCAATAACATATTAAACACAAATATGCAAAACACATGCAAAGCATCTAAAATAAAAATAACGCTCATAGGATCGCCTGATAGTGAAATAAATTTCTGTCCGGGTCTAATTTTCTAATTTCACTATTTTCTAAAAATGCATGTACTTGCTTAAACATCCCCGGTTTACTTATAACAAATATATAAATCGTATTATGTAATCGATTATTTGAACGAGAAAGTTTTTTCATTTGCGTAATGTATTTGTTATTTCGAGAGTTAGACAAATTATTGAATACTCACAATACCGTTTCTAACTAACGTACTTTTACGAAAAAAAGAATACGAGAAGGGGAAACAATGACTGATGAAAAAGTTCGCGGACATTAAACCGTGGGAACAGGAAGGACGGGGGAAGCAGGAACGCGGGTGCAGGAATTTTGACAAGAATCTTACGGAAGCGATGAGAGCAATTTGAGCCTTATCGCGGGATAAAGTCGGCGGCCACATATTTGCATTATGTCCGGGCGCGTAAACACGTCCACGAAAAAGTGCACTTTGTCATCCCATCCTATTTGCGTTCGGTAGCGGGGGAGAAGCAACTCGCGGAATGCGGCGCGGCACTTCCCACATACGAGCAATCGCTTAGCGGCCCGTGACAAATAACGATGACTTTTTCACGATGGACGCGTCACGGCCTGACGCGAGTTAGTTTCTTCGTGTTCGCCGTGGAATTTCGCGCCGGTAATTCACGCCATCCGACAAATAAAAAAAGCAGCCGACAATTCGGAAATGATCTCCGATTCGCGAGACTGGTTCGCCAAAGCGAATCCATGATATTAGTCGAAAAATCTTCTTTTTAATACATTTCACGATTGAAAGACGATTTATGCTCTGACGAATTTATGAAACGATTTATGAAATGATTGTCCCATTTTAAAAAATAATGATTATCTATCATTAATTTCAAAGCTTAAGCATAATTTATTTGGTATGAGTACAGCTATATGAGTACATAAGAAGTAGATAGCGGATCTTTATGCAAAAGTTAATCGCTCAGCTGGCGCAAGGCGGCCAGGCCAACGAGCCCAGTTACGCTGATTGCCTCGGCCGCCTAGCGTTAGGCGAGCTCGCCTCTCATTGGTCATTGTTGTTCGTTAATAACTCGTAAACAAAGCCGCGGATTACATTTTCGCTAAGGGAAAAGTTACTTCAAATTACCTCGGGAATCACCCCTTTCGGGGTGTTAACATATTTATGGGACGCCCTGTACATAAACGATACCGAAATGGAAAATAACAAGACCACATGGCCAATCAAATAATTCCGTTTAAGTGCCCCAAGATGCTCTCATATTTCAGCAAACTCAGACTTTGACTGGGTTAGAATTTCATTGGGATTTCTAGGAGGAAAAGTTTAAGGGCAGCGTCCGCTGCAATAAATGTTAATAATCTAGTTTCGGTATCCTTTCGGTTTCATTCAATTACGTTGTTCCCCGGGAAATTTTCGAAGTTAATGTCTGCCGCATAAAGCGTTAACTACTTCGAGTCAACGAGATGGTAAATCCTCCGGAAAATCTTGCTTCCTCCACAGATACCATTGAACGCTCTGTCCCGCGAGTTCTTAAAGCATACGCGCGCGCGCAAAAACTCGCGATCCAACAGTAGAGACGCTTGATACCGAAAGAAGGTACGCTGGCAAATGATTAGCTCTTGGTCGGCTTCTTTCTCTCGGAACACAACGCACCCGATAGCGACCCGGCACACGTAGAGAGCTCGCAATTAGCTGAATCTGCAGCCAGCTGCAGCCGCCACTAAATCCGCGTGACTTCAGGTGGGAGAACGAGGACGAGTACGTAGGACGAATGACGATATTAGGAATAATTATTCTGCTGTACTCACCGGGCCGACAAGGTGGGTTGGGGCAGGTGCGCGAGGTGGTGTGCTTGTGGCGGGAGGGTGAAGAGAGGGCAGGTAGCCCGTAAAATATGATCTGGAGTTTGGCTGGCCTGGCTGACGCCACGGTGGCTAATACGTTTGAGGGCGAAGTTAGTAACAGGTGGCGCGATCCATAACGGTCCCTGGCGCATCCCTCTCACCCTTCTCTCTCTCTTTCTCTCTCTCTTTCTTTCCCTGTTCCTCTTTCTCGCCGCTCGGTGAAACTAGTCGTCGGTGTTGGTTCTAACGGCACACGCGCCTACAGCGGCCTGGTTGTGGAGGGAGGGGGGGGGGGAGAGGAGGAGGAAGAAACTTTAATTAAAAATAAAAACTTGTTTCTTTCGTTGCAGAGTCCCAGCCGCCGAGCACCAGCCCCAGTCCGTCCACCACGGAGTTGCCGAAGAAAGGTGAGCTCGTAAACCTCCCTTAATCGCGGGCAAAATAATATTTTATCCCAGCGGAAGCGTCCACGTCCCCCGTGTTCCCCTATTTTTTTCGATACCGCCTCAAGAGGATACCGCCTTTCCAGGACGTTGCATCCTCCTTATCCGCCGCCGTCGCCGCACTGAATTCTGAACGCGTTTACCTTTTTCTTGCCTTTCGCGTAATACAGCCGTGGAGCTCCGCACAGTGAATTTCGGGAGTCTTTTTGTCTTTTCTCGGACGGAAACTCATTTGCGATGGCCACCCGTATTGATGCCACTGCAAATTCCATCGCGAATGCGTCATTCGAAAGCTGTTTGCTTAATGCAATATCAATATTAATAATAATAATAATAATAATAATAATAATAATAATAATAACTTCATTTATCGATGGGATAAACCTTTTATTAATGTTCGGGACATCGTGTAACATGATTCTTTCTCGCATGTTTAACAATTATATTGATATCGTCGCAGACATTTTTAAGACCAGACGTTATCAGGATACTTACCGTTTTCAAATTTTATTCGAACGACTGTCCAGTAGAGCTCGATGTTCTTCCTGATCGTATTATGTACTTAGGTTTATTTTTGCTTAGGTGTCGTGATCTTACATAAAAAAAATATATATATATTACACCTTTTCTGTTACTTTCTATTTTTACGATCTTTTATGCTCTTTGGTAATTCGTACAATGTAATGCAATATAAAAATATAAAGAAATATAACAATCCTATAGAATCCTATATATAGAAATATAATCATATTTCATATCGTACCTTAAACATAACAATTTCTACTTCGGGTATTAATTGAAAAAAGGCCCTTTCTTTGATCGGATTCAAAAACTTCGCGGCGAAATCAAAGGAACTAAATTTTTTTAGGATTTGCGGCGTGCGGAATCAAAGAAGCAATCGCTTTAACCCACCGTCTACCGTGTCGGAGTTATGGCAAGCAAGAATGGGGGGAGGGGGGTCCGCAAATATGTGTGAGTCAGAAATAACTCCACATGGTAGGATCGGTAATCCACAGTTCAAGTCTCAGCACTATTTTCGCCGCGTAGCATTAGAAGCAAGTGATAAAGAATACATGTACGATTTCAGCGAGAGAATGTTTTTGACAGATTTTTGGATGGAAATACTCGTCGGTCAACGTGTGTCCAAGATGTGAAACGGCGAGGGATCGGTATTTCGGTCGACACAGTTTTGGTGGATGGTTTACTCAGTTTGTTGCCCGGTTAATTGCGTTTCTCTGACTCCCATCGACGGCACACGTTCAATATTGAATGTCTACCGTGGGAGAAAGTAAGTCGCGTCGTGAAAATTCCATGAACCGTTGGTCAGAGTTTTAATTAACGGCCGCAACACCGTCAAAGAACTGCGAGACGAAAGCAAATACGCTCGCTAAAGACCGTTTTAGGTTTATAAATATATAATAAGGAGCGCTCGAAATTTTTCATCCATTTTACAAGCACGATGGAACGACGTTTCTCGCTGACTACAGTAATTTCTTCTTAATTGGCGCTCAGATTGCGCATAAAAATGAATAATTTGGGAAGAGCGGATACGATTATTCGTGCCTTGCGTCTCGCTTTTATAGTTGTTGTCAATCGGTAACTATAAAAACGAGCCGCAATCGAGTAGTCGTATCTCCATTTTTGTGCACAATTTGAACGCGAATTAGGGAGAATTTACTGTATTACGGATCAGCTGATTTTCTTATGAGATTACCCTCTCTTCTTAGATCTGTTTACTTGGTTGACGTGCATAGATGGTGTAAACGTAGCTCGTAATCTGGATAATTGCTCCGGTACTTATCGACGAGAATGGCTAACGTTGGCGTTTTCTCTGCAGATTGGGAGCAGATGGCTGAGATAAACAATTCCGTTTATGGAAATCCGAGCTCTTTAACGATCCACAATGAGAAGGGCGCGAAAAATGGTGAGTTTATTATCTTGATTTAATCAATTCTCGAATCGCAGTCTGTAACCATAGACTCGCGCATCTTTGAAAGTAAATAAATAGAGTAGAGAGTCCAATTACTGTGGCGGATTTCAGGAGTTTTTGCTGCTAGAAACAGCTTTACCAATTTAATTGACATTTCTTGAGAACTGGAAGGTAAATTTCCAAGTTTGATTTATTGATATCAATTTTGTCATGAAACAAATACCAAATCTTCTTTGAAAATATTAGGAGGAAGGAAAAAAAGATATGTTCTGGAACCAGTTACTGTATGCCTAGCCTAATTATAACTGCGCGATACAAATTTAATAATTAACACGCTTTGATAACTTTTATTGTCTATAAAAAAACAGTAATATTATATTAAGTGATTGAAAAGTTCACATTAGAGATGACTGCATTAATGAAATTTCATATTTAGATTTTTCTTGTTTAAAAATATAATATGGATGGTTTGAGATTTGAGGTTGTGTAGAACTATATCGCGTGACAAGCGGCAGAGTAATTAACGCATCGAACGATAAATAAGTCCACTTATTGTGCACAGTAAATAAGCTACTGAAATTGAAACCAAAAACAAAAATTCAAGTAAATAATCACTATTTTGTTTTTCCGTAATCTTAATGCGTTTTATCAATACAATTAACATTGTGATATCTTGCCTAGAACGATTTATTTTACAGAATACAGCATTTTTTTCATAAGCTTCAGAGATAATTTCACGAATTCACTATCAAAAAATTGAAATAATTTTTGTGGTATTTTGAAAGCTTCCGTCTTTTACATGTTTAATTTTACCAAATAAATATTTATTTGAATTTATATGAAAAAATTGAATATATCTTACTACCTCACGGTAACTGACTCCGCTACCCTATTTGTTTACTTTCGGTTGAATTACAACTGGGAATACGGGTCCAATGCACACCAAGCACATTTATATCTGCAATTCGTGTGTCCTGTTATGCAAGTGATCCATGGAGACTGTAAAACTATACTATTGTGTACCGTTAACTCGGTATAGACCAAACCGTGCAGCAGACTCTTATTCCAAGTTGATATTCGGTTGGATAGAAATGTACACGATTGAAAGAAACAGCATTCGGGTTTGAAGTTCGCACCCCGGCGAAGTCGAATGTAAATGGCAAAAAGTTCTTCGGGTTCGAGTATACCGGCGAAACGCATTCTCTTCAATCTTGATCTTTTTTCGAAGGACGCATCGATCACTCGGCCGGCTCTCGCGAGAAACTCGGGTAAAGGGGGGAAGGGTTAGCGAGGCGGAAACGCAACAAAAATGTAATAATGCGATAAAGTCGGCAGTCAAATAAAGAAAAGTTTCTTGAATCGTGCGAGCTCGATATCCGAAAACTCTTAATGGAACCGATCGCTCGATACGTCAGCGATTATTACAACATCTGTGAACCTCGTTTCCTTAACCATTTCTTTCACGCCCTTAAATTCTCCGTTTCTATCCAGGGAATTGTTGAGATTGTACTGTATGCAAGAATCGTCTGAGCTGCATCCTTTCATCGAGAATCCATTTAAAAACTGTCAATGAGGAGATCTTTTTTCAAAGCTAGTTAATAACAACACATCTGCGTATCTCGTTTCTTAAACCATTTTCTTACACCCCTATATTTTTTAATTCTGCAGGAAATTTTGCATGAAGAAGAATTTAAGATTACGTCACACGTCAGAATTTCTTCGATAGCTTCTTTTCGTTAACAATGTTTTCAACGATTGTTAAATGGAGGATTAGTTTCGACTTGATTCCAGCCACACAGATGTACACTCCGGGACAAAACGATAACGCACTTTAAAATTAACGGAATTTTTATTTATTTAACATTACAACCAAGATGCAAATGGAAACAATGTCGAATGAAAAAAGTCTATCCCAGATGAGTGAGAGAAATCAGAGCAAAAAATGATTAAAAGGTTCCGTAAATCTTTGTCAAAGAGAATGACGGCTGTTATTAAATGTAAAAGAAGAGCCACAAAATACTAAACATTAAATATCATTCGTTGATTTATCACTATACATAATTTTTAATTAAATGTGCTATCATTTTGTCTCACTGTATTTCCATAAAAATTCTTTCGTTTCATCAAATAAAATTGTTTAGATTGGCGAAATTCAATTTTCTTTCATTTGTGTATGTTTATAGTTGTATTTCGCAAGTTTGTATAGAAACAAAACCTTGCTTGTGAAGTTAAATAAATAAAAATTACGTTAATTTTAAAGTGTGCTATCGTTTTGTCTCGAAGTGTACATCTTTGATCGTTTCTGTTCGATACTTTGTCATGGTATAGCTCCAAGAACATGTTGCACGCACAAATTTTTCAACAGTCTTCTCGCTTCGGCGACGTTTCAAAAAATCGTCGAACCGCATCGAAGATTCCGGTTAGACTATTCCCAACCCGAATCGTAACTCGTAGTTCCGAATCGGCCGGTATATCCGTGAAATGGCGCAACGCGTGACGAGAAATAACTAAAATCGCGGTGGCGTAATCATGCGGAACGAGCTCCTCGTTCGCAGTAATTAACTTCTTTATGGTGTCCGATGTTAAAACCTCATCGCAATCGACGCAATTACATCGAAATTTCTGGACTCGATTTTCACCGGTGGTGGCGCGGATTCATCGAGCAACACTTACCGTCAATTTATTACCAATATTGGAAGAGCGTGTAGCTCGATCTGAACGCGGCGACACGGGAACTCCTCTCCGACGAGTAATTAATTACACAGGGACATTTGCAACTCAATTAACGCGAGCAAACCGCTTCACCGTCGGCCGCGAGCTCCAAAACCAGTCGGAACCGATCGACGGTCTCCTAAACATCGGCGACTGGACCAACGATCTAGCAGTGAATCCCTCTCGAAGGATGATCGAGAAGCGGATTACAAGAGCTCAAACAGGGTAGGAGCCATAAAAATCGAGGAGCCACGGGATCTCGGACCGCGACGCGTCGTCGGTCGGAGTTAGGGGAGAACAACAAGTGAAAAACTCGTGAAAATGGAAGTAGATGTTTATGTACGTGTAAAATCTGAAGAACTATAGAGGGATCGAGACGGGTCGCGGGGTAGACTCGGGAGTGCTGGGATCGAGGGTTCCGCCGAGGCTCCTGTAACATCAATATTTCATGTATGCTAACACGCCAGAACTAATAATGCACCATCCAGGAAGACCCAAGAATAATATCAGCCACCGGCGTACCCCTCGTTCTCCCTCTTCATCCCCATTTTCCCCGCATTCTCTCCCTATCCCTGGTTCCTTCGCAGTCCTCCGAACCATTAAGCCTTTCTCCGTTCGTCCCGCGGCAGCCGGAGAAGTAAACCAAGAGAGCGAAAGAAAACGGGTGACGAAGAGAGCGAGGAAGGACGGTGGGCTCTCTCGTCCTTCTGCGCCTTGTGCTAAATTTAATCTAACAAAGTGCGAGAACCTTTTCGAAAATTCGTGTCTCGTTGAGCCGTGTCGCGCTACCCTCTGCAATCCCCCACGCAACCTCCGCTTTCTAGACTGCCTCCGGGCTGCATCTAAGCTGCACACAGCGTCGTCAACGAAGGAAGATGGGGTGGAAGGAAAGACAAAGAGCTCCGGGCAGGAAGGTATGCGACATCGGGCTCGTAAGTCGGAACATGCCGTATTCCTGCGGCGCGCGGCGTTTCTCTTCTCTCTTTCTCTCTCTCTCTCTTGCTCTCTCTTTCTTTCTCTTGCTCTCTCTCACTCTCTCTCTCTCTCTCTATTCCCGGGGTCGCCCGCGCGGAAAGAGAAAGCGAGACGCTCTCTCGGACAGAAGGAGGGGTGAGGTTTGTAATTGGCGCAACATCTGCGGTCTGCGGGGTGGCATTAATGTTTGCTCCCCTCGACGCTCCTCGCAGAAAGTCCCACCCCCTTTCCACTCTTTGTTTCGACTCCCCGACTTCCTCCGTTCCTCCTCCTCTTCGTCCTCCTCGATTCTTACTCTGTTTTATTTTCTGCTTCTACCCCACGGCGTACTTCTTCCTGCGGGATTGAGCCTTGAGCAATTTTATCGAATGCTTGTCACGATTAATCTTTCCCAGGCATAGATCTGCATCTAAGCAAAATTACACTATGGAGGAATCGGTGTAAGTCCATTAACCTTAAAATTGAGATCGGGAAGAATTTTGCATATAAGCTGTAAGAACAACAATGTCACTAATAATGTAAAGAACAATTTTTATTGTAATTAATTAAAAGAAATGAATATCAATATTCAATTGTTTTATTTAATCGTTTCTATATTGTTAAGTGCTGCTATATGAAGGAAGATAGATTTACACCAGTTGACTTTTGAAGCGTCCATTTCTAGTTCGGTTAGCATGACCGTGTATCTGGTTTCTTTGACCATTTGTCGACACCCTTATGTATTTTGTTTCTGTTGGTCACGTTTGTGCAAAGAAGTTTTCCGATTGTACTGTACGTTAAACTTTCATGAACAACTTTCTGCCATTTAGAATGCTTTTAAAAAATTATCAAACGGAACGTTCAATTTTAACTTGCTTGTATAACATCTATGCATATTACTTCTTTGATTACCTTGATAAATCCTTAATTCAGTTACTTTTGTTGGAAAAATATTCTTATAAGATAATCACAAGACCATGTCGTACGCAAAAATATATTCAATAGCTTCCTTTCATTGATAATGTTTCAAAAAAGTTGTCAAAATTGTTCCATGGTTGACCATAAAAGAATTGGTTGAGGCTGACTGTCATGCCAACAATAACAATAAACTAGCATAGCACTCATCGATATTTATAATTAGGGAATTTATAATGAACGTACATTGTATTGAATCTTTCTTTGAAACACCCTATATGTATCTTCTGAAATAAACGGCTGAAAAATCGACCATCGAATACGGTGAAAGAATTATCCGTTCGCTGTCGAAAATTCCGAAGAAATATCGGATCGTTGCGGCGCCGCGATAAAAATGTCTATATTTTTCTCAT